TGACATATCGTATTCAATTTGATTTATTTTACGCGCTTATATATATATATATAAAGCGTGTGAACTTCTATGAAAAAATGTTAGCTTAAACTTAACGCTCTAACGTTTGACGCTTGCTTTGTGCTCTCGGAGACTGGTTTACACCAACACACATTCTCACGCATGCATTTATAGGGACGTTCCGAATTTAATTGTTTCCAAGTTGAGAAGCGCCCAATACTACTCGTCGCTCTCTTACGCCATTCTCTAGCGTCGGATAAAATGTATCACACTTTCGACACAGATAGCAGCCAGTTGTTAGAGACGCGCTAGCTTGTTCAGCCTGTAATCCATTTAAATAAATTTAGATTAACAAACAGTAGAGGATGATTAGGTTCTTGCTCCGTTCAATTACCTACCGTTCAATTAACTAGAATAGATACAGTCGCCGCAGGACTAGTTGCATAGCGACACGACGGAACGGGCCGAGACAATAGTAAGACATTACTGACATTTCGATGGCTCGAGCAGTTGTCCAGCGCCCACTTACGTCACCATTCCAAGCGTCACTTCTCACTCAAAGACCTGTTGACTCGGTCGAGATATTGTTGTTTCTCGTAGAAGCAGTCAAAAGCGGTGTCGCATATTTACAATGAGCCTGAATTATCAGGCCATATGGATACGTTGAGCAAATTCGAGGCTGTTTACGATATAATCAGAGCTGTAAGACATTGTAATGGCATTGTATCCATTCACGAACGTTAACATCTATTCGTAAATGTGAATGCTCTAACATCGTAGAAATAATCGTATCAAGCTTCTAAATATTGGAAGCTCAATGTACGGTAAGACTTTACAGTAACAATACAGGATGCCAACAACAGTTTTTAAACATTCAGACAGTAAAATGAAGCAAATTATTTCTTGTAGCTAAGTAAATAATTTAAGGACTATTTTGGTTTATCTTAAAGCTGATTCCGAACGCGTGCTGTAAAGGAGCTTTACTACCAGGGTACTCCAGTACCTGTTCCTTGTCCGTAGATCCACTCGATCGATGCATTGATACGAAATACATTTGAAACTTCCACATTGATTGGGTATTACACCTCATAAATCTAAGTTTAGTGATAGAAGTTACTGCTACTCCATCTAGATGTCAGCCAAATTGTATTCATTATACAATGCATCAGTGAAGTTGTAGATGAAGTGTTATAAGGAAACGAAGTTAGATATGCTTATCTCACTGAACTTTTATGGTAACTAGAAAAGTTGTTTGTAGTACTTCGGATTATTAATTACCACCTAAAGGATATAATGCATGGTTTAGAATTTCCGACGTGACGAGAACTCGGTCGCTCCGGGCAAACTGGCTGACGCCCCGCGTAATCAATAGTGAGCAAAAATCTCATTCTACAAAATTTTGTGAAAGTGAAACCGTTTCTGACAATAGACCGCCTGACATCAGCCTGGAACGCGAAATAAGCGAACATGATTTGCTTCAGGGGCACACTTAAGGCAATAAGATAAATATATCATCGCATAGTGAATTATCGTCGCTTGATCAAAACGGCGGCGTAAAAATACGTCAGCCAATATACGATACATTAGTCTACTCGAGGCGCCGTTAATTTTGCCACGAATGTCATGGAAACCATTTTGTTTGCATAATTTCATCATATGCCCCTAAGTAAAGTATTCATATAATAGACTGGCCATTTTTTATAGAGCTTAAACGATTTACAAGCAAAATTTACAAGTCGGAATAAAGTATGAGAAAAACGTTAAAGTTGTTAGTACATTTAAACCAAGGCAGCTCCCCATTGTGATTCAACCTGATGCGTTGTTCTGTTCTAATCACATTTATATTCAATAGTAAGAGATGACAGTTCAGAAAAATTGTCAGGCTCGAGGTTTACAATAAGATTTACTAGCCTTTTCTCAGAACCCTTTCGCTCACGCCAAATCGACCAGCATGCCTTTTCGAAGCAATGCCGTCGTCACGACACCCAAAAGTCGCTGTACTTCGGACGATAACAGACAACAAGCCAAGAGGCCACTCCACTGTGGGCTCAATAGGGACCCCACGACACCGCCACTACCCGCAAGAGTCGGAAAATACGAATCATAATCGACTCCTATCGTATCACGTGCACAGTTTCGGTTGATCTTTTTGAAAATATAAAATCTCAATAGTAAACCCGATAAGCAAGTGGATAAGAGTATTCGTCCAGCTTATGAAAATCAAACAGATGCCCCTTGGACCTTAACAGTGCTTAATGCAGGTACGGCTTGACACTCAAGCACATAGGTGCCTTTAGTCGATATTTTCTCAGAAGTGAATAAATCGTGGTAGACCAATTTCGAGCACATAAAGAAAGAACCCTTGACAAATAGACTGATACAGTTTACCTTACCCTGTAGCACCGATTATTTTTAACGGTAGCGCTAGGCAAATTTTCACTCTGTTATACTATTATAGGTTCCCAAGTTGTAAACTGAGAGATTCGTGTCGATTTACTCTAGCAGCGTACGAAGTGGCCAACTTAGATTTGCCAACTAATACTTCATAATATCAAGTTTACCTTGCAATCGAATCGCATGTAAGTTCACTGTCACCATAAATTCGTCAAAAGGTAACCAAATAAAATTGTCATAATGATATTTTTTCAGAACAAAAATGTCTTGGTGCGATAGTAGTAAACAAAGAAGATACTCATGGCGTTAGGCATGAGTTATTAATGTGGCTAGCCATTCAAGTTATTTAATAGTTTGATATATATCGAAGTTACTTGTATAATCTCATTCGTCAAGTATCAATTGGTAATATCCAAAAAATAATTGATACGGTCAACGTCAACGTTAACTTAACATAGTTGTATTTAGCTATTTAATAATAATAATAATAATAATAGTAATAATAATAACAATCCATGTCTATGACAAAGTTATTCAACTGAATGTACCAGTGGAATAAATCGTCCTATATTCCACCGTAGAATAGGCTATATCCAGCAACATGAAGCAGCGTTCATATTTAGGCGCGCTTGAGGGATTCCTTCACGAACCAGCCTAGGATGCTAACTCCAGTACACTATACATATTAATATACGATATATGATAATTAGCAATTTCAATATATCTAGCGCGGACTAGGAGTGTGGCGATGGGCACTCGGTTCAAATTCAATAGCCTAATTAATAGATATTAATGTTAGCATTATTTTAAAAAATAGTCACTGAGCAAGAGCTAAGGCACTTCATGGTTTTGAGTTTGCCTTTTTACGCAATTACGGGAAAGCCTGGACGTTATTCAAATGTTGAAATGCAGAATGTCACCTGTAAGTTTTCATTAATAATCAATAAAAAAAATTTCAAAACGATATTATGTTCTTATATGATCCTTTTTTACCAGCGATCAACGATCGCTGACACGTATACATATGCTTGCCACGTGTGGGTATCGCCTGCATAGTCACCTAGTTCAGTAACCCTTATCGTTCTATTATGCCTGTTGACATGCGCATCAAACATGACACCTTGTTGTGTTGGGATCGTATTCGGATAAATGGATAATTTTTAATCGCCGGCCATTTTTACAGACAGGACCATGCTATGGTAACTACAGCCTTACATTTAGGACTTAATTCTGCTGTGTGTTTTCTTGCTTCAGAATGCCGTTATCGCCTTGCCGAAACTACAGCTGTACAGATAATCTCTGCAGAGTTATAACGTAACATTTAAAGTACCGTTTCAGCGATTTTTCACTAGGCCCACAAAGGGGTACGTAGTTCAAAGCATTTCATTGACTGCTACCATTTAAATCAGTAGCGAACAAAACCTTTTACATTTTCTTATAACTGGTTTCAGTAAGAGACGGAGCGAAGTAGAATGTTTTCGTCGTCTCATTAAAAATGCCCTGCGTAGCAGTAAGGGAGAACGAGCTCGGGTCGGTTATCTGTTCCCAGTAAGCTCAGTTCCCGCACAGTTGCCACTGCTCGATATATATGCTTATTAAAAAAGCAAGACCCATATGCTAAAATTACTTCGAATACACACATAACTATCGTCATATCCAGGCTACCTTTCCGCTTGCTGCGAGTTTCCATCACGATGACTCGGATATAGATCCAGGCAGTTCGTTCAGTGGTCTCAGCTAAAGGTCGGTCATAAGGCAACAAGGCCTGGCATCCATTTTCTGGAACCTCTACGATAACATCGGTAAGATGGAGATACTATGCTCGTACTATATAAATCAACACAATCATGCTGACGCTCTTAGGTTGCCTACGCTAACCAGGCAGTGTCGCCTATCGGTTAATAGGCTTCTGCTCGTTCACCATCATTTTCGCCGATGCCGCCGCCATCGTCCGCTGTCGTTTACATTTACTTGCGATCTACACCGCACTCCACCCTGGGTGTGGGCGTAACTTAGAGTAAAACCGACTCAGGTAGGTTTTTTCCGACAAACCCCTCCTCTGATGATAGTAGCTCAAAACCTATCTAGTCATCTAGCAGGCAACGCCCCAGAAATCCACTTCTTTCCGTCATCCAAAAAACCCGAATCGTTCCTTTTTTGTTTTGGTCTTCAATTAGAGGACGTAGTATTCGTAATCGTCAAAGCTATAACTTCGACGATCTCGTTGGCCACAACAACAATTGTAACTAAGTCAATATCTGTCTATTTAAATGGGCTTGTTACACATAGTAGTTACGTTTTGGGTTTCTAAGGAAGTGATGTATAAATGCAAACTACAAACAACGGCGATTGGGTCTGGTCTCGGTACGATGGGTCGTCAACCACCAATTCTAGTCTTCAAAAAGTCTTTTACATGACTGCTGCTTATCAGGAAATATTTATATCGCAGCTGCATTCTAATATATCTGTAGTATAAATCCTTCCTTTCGTATCTCAGTTATATATGCGAAGAGTGAGATGACTAGGGTAAAGGAGTGTGGCCGTGAAAGAATGAAATATATTTGCATGTCTCGATATTTACATAGAGAGTTAGTGTCTGTACTCACCGACCGGAGTGGCATCGCTAAGAAGTAAATGGTCGGAAGGATCTGGGAATTTATCGACACTTCCATGCTTAAGCACTGGACCCAGGACGTTCAGCATCGGTGTTCCAAGTGCTGTTTGGCCTGCCGGGCTCTCCATCAGACCGCAAGCTCCACTGTCTGCGGAACCCGGAATATTTGAGACGCCCGCCTGCAGCACATTATATTCAATTTTTCGGTTAGTTAATGGAACCGCAATAGAGCATAAGCATCTGGTTGGTATGTACCTCACCCAGGTTTGGTATGTGCAGACTTGGCTATAAAAATTAGCAACACCAACACCTAGGTATTCCGTATTTCAATCCGTAATATAATTCATGTGAAGCTGAAATTCCTCAACAAAATATCTCGTGTAGATGAGCAACTATTCATGGCTTATATGCCATTCAAAGCAACTGTTTATCTAGCTGTCCTGTAGTGTGCAAAGGTCCATTAAAACATTTATAGTGCACTTTCTATATTGAGGTCATCTAAGAGACTTGAGAAAGGATCGAAATTAAAAATAGCTATTAAGCACAACCTTGAACATCGGGAGACGTTAGTTTTCCCAGAATATCATTGTGAATGATTTTAGGGACCACCAATAAAACAGTACAACTTATACATATCAAAGTTGTATTAAACGTGAATAAGTTAGAGTATACCCTAGTCACAATGACAAACCATGCGTCTGGTGTAAGCTGTCGCACTTCACAGAAGAATTGTTTAACGTGAATTGGCCATCTTCAAGAATATCATTGCTAGGTCGTATTCACAGATCTTAATCCAGTGGCATTTACATCAAGAAGAAGTTTTATACGCGATATATCAACCAAACGATCATAGTCATTATTTATATTGATAAATACTCGTTTTCTTTGAATGATCAAGTGCCGCTATACTGAAAAATATTTAATATAATAGCGACAGAGAAGCTAGCGAAATATGGTTGTTTGAGCTAAATATCAATTATTACCATATTAGAGTCACTCGATATTTTTCTCTATTCGGAAAAGCCTAAAAATGCAAATTTGACTTTAGTGGTCCGTTTGGATTTTTCCGCTTTTTTTAATTTTAAAATTTAATTTTAAAATTCAACTTATCTGCCTTACTTAGACGATCAACGATAACTATCAATTGATTATTATGTTATGCTATCTTCACCTTAAACGATGCAAACATGTTTCTACGTTGAACCGACGACATCAGTGGAAGGCGTTGGCTGAAGTTCGAGGAAGTGGTTGAGGTTTTTTGTGAGAATTCGTGTAACGTAGAACTAGCGAAGCTATTATTACCTCCAGATGGCAAGAGGCGAAACATGAGCTTGATTGCATCCAATTATTATCGCCACGACTTTTCTTTGACGATCGTACGCATGTAACGTCGAATCTCCCTGTCTTCACATTGATTCAGCGATACACGTAGCCATGCCAGCCAATGAGTGCACCTTACTTAACTAGCGTTATCAATAACTGTATTTACGTATGTAGGACAGAAGCTTATCTGAATGCTTTGTCAAAATCAGTCAGAACAGCTACGACAGATCGGGCCCGAGAATGCTGACTCTTCTATAAGCTCGTTACGCTCTGAACATGTTGAGGTCATTATTAGGTCTGCGCAGTCTCAAGTGTGAACGGATGTATAAACATTTTCGGTTCCTTCATCGTTGCATTTTTACTATGATAAACTGACACATTGTCTTCATAGAGGAGTCAGAGAGAACCCTGAGCACAATGTTTCAGTTGCAGTAAATATCTGAGAAACGGCTAATTGGGGTAGTGGCTTTAATACCATATCGTATCGATGAATTAGGGAGAGAAATTTAGATTGGCCTACATTTATTCTAGTACATAATGCAATGCTTCCAGGTTATCTTACAATCGGTTAATCTATTAAGTTCGTGTTCTTTAACGAACTAAAGTGAGGACGGTGAGACAGATCCGTGAGTGCGTCGACTTGGACCCAAAATCAGGAAGCTGAAGCGAGTGGATTATGATCAAAAAGGATTTCGTCTTGCGTTGTACCAGTTTTACAGCCACTCGCGAATATGAAATGACTATTATGGACAGCATTAGGCTGACTGAGCAGATAAAAGCCAAATAATAAGTCGGCACATAGGTATGTTTAGACGCAATTCAACGATATAATAGTAAAATTTCCAGAAAGCGGCCATCTTGTAACAGATGCTCGTTAATCGATCTCCTTATCGCAATGGTGTCATACACTGTCGACAATGATTTATTTTTCAGCCAGCAGACCTATTTGTGCATCTAGTTTAGTAGATAATGTTACTCATAGCAGATTGTTACGCGAATTGCTATGTTTTGCGTACCCTTTGTCAAATGGCATAGATGTCCATTTACGTTTTCCTTTATTTTTATTATAGATTTCAGCGGGATATCCTTCCCGTATTAAAAACGCGTAGCAGTTATAAGAAGAATTCATTCACTCTATGGGTTCCATTACAATTTTCGTGTATGAGAGAAATCGTGCAGAACACGGAATTCACGGAAGGCCGAAACAGTTTCTAGACAGTAGGGGGTCGCAGTGACGGAAGATGGCAGACGAAAACATTGGAAGACATTAGTTGGCAGCCGGTTTCTCGAAATGCTCACATCTGAAATGAATAGTTTGAAAAAAAAAATTAATAATACATTCTTAGAGGAAATATCGTGCAAATTTGGTGCATCGTTAATTATAAGTGAGACCTCTTCGGTTAACGAACCAACTTCTGCGGCATCAAGTCTATGATATGGTCGCTTAACCTTAATGAACCTTAATGAAGTCAGACTGGCCGCACATCAGCCAACTGATGCGGGGAACGAAGCAATGATGCAACAAAAACAATCAGTTAGGGATAGAATCTTCCACTAGAACAATGTCGAGTATCAAGGGCCGATGACTGAAAATAATTAATTTAGCTGTTAATAGTGCTCCTACCAGTGTCTATGATTTAAGTCAAAAGTATTATCCAGTCAAAAGAAGCTTATCTTAAATTTAACGGGTTTCTATGAAAAAGTCAGAAGGCTCGATTTTGGGTATAACCGCAGCTGTATGATGCTGCTACCGACTGTCGCAATTAGAGGCTTGGTAAGGCATGTCGCATTTCAATAAGAACAGGACCGAGTAGCATCACTCAAGCTGTGCCATGATGACAGTTTCCTAATCCAGCTCAAAGATAGTCCTGGCCTGACTCTAAAGGCCAGTCTTGAGGTCAAATCCGTTAGTGCTTTATCCATCAAGCTGGCGTATTGCGGTTTTTTTTAATGTAGTTTTTCTATTAAAGTATTTCAGTAAAGCCACCGCATTCCTTCAATCTATCAATTACTTAACTGCGTTATCCTATTACCCAATTTCATTATACTGTCTTAATTATTCGGTTATTCTGTTTTAATTCATGTCTTGAACATGGCCGTATTTCCAGTGCAAACAGATCGTCGCGGTGCGCCATGGTTAAACTGTTACGTTACGGTCATTCTATCAGCTTACGGTGTAATTCATCTTAACTTTCAAAGCCATATATATAAGTATGAAGCCGCTTTATATTCAACGCCATGGCGCGGATGAAAATGGAGGTGGTCAAATTTCCCGCCAAATCCCTTTTTCGTGCCCGGTGTACAAGGTACGAAATAGCAAATGGTGTTTGTAGCTAAATTTCCCACACCTTCTTAAACGTTGTTAAAGTAACTATTTAAAGGATTCACTTTTAAGTTTCTTTTTAACCCACTGGGCAAATTTTAGCTGACGATGAATCTTGCCCCGGGCGTGCCATTTGCATGTCCTGATTCATCCAAGCTTATAGCTAAACATTAAAAAAATTATTGAGTAGTTGACATAATCAGACACACATCAACCAAACTTTAACTGATTTAAAAGTATAGGATATCAATTCATCGTATTACGAACATATTACAAGGGTATTTTTCTTGTAAAAACAGCTGAACCGAAATTTGCAAAGACCTATTTTTTTCTAGCTGTGTGAAGTTTAAGCTAGAATAAAAAGCATCCAGTATTCTGACCACACGCTGACAGCGACGGAATATATAGGCTCTTAATATGACCTTGAATGAGGATTCTTCACGGTACGCTATTTACACTATGCAGTATTCAACACTGGTGTCCTAGCACATAATGGCTACGACCTATAAGATCTCATAATGTCGTTAATTTTGCTTTTTAATAAACATATTACTGACTGTCACAATACTTCAGTACGATTTACTTAGTTCGTGATAGCTATGAAACAGTTCATAATTTCCAATCATATCAGCATAAACTAAAGCAGCTAACAATATCCATAAACACAATTTGGCCCACCTTCGTCATTTGTGTCTTGGGGACCAGCTGTGGAAGTTAATACGGACTGCTATGGAGACAAGCACCATGTTAAAATTTTGAAGAACCAAGGAAATCTACTAAACTACTTTAACATGGGCAGCTTTATGATACGATTTACCTGTATCTGAACTCTACTTAGTTTCGTGGGTCTTCATTTCATAAGCCATATTCCTTACTGCCTTTCAGTGCACTTGTATACCCGTGCTTGCTACGAGAAATATATCGATATACGTATCGGTTGAACACTATATAAAGGCGCTGATAATAAAGCAAATTATAGTTATTATATTTCCTATTGTTATGCAATAGAGAAGTCACGACTGGATAACTGTAAATTAGAGCAATATGGTATTAAAGTATTTAAAGTTACAATTTTCTATGACATAATCTAGTTTTCCGATACGCAGGGCAGCGATGAATGTTTCGAAATCGTTATCTACTCATGATCTGTTATGTCAGTTTAATGGCAGCCCATCGTGACAAACCGGCGGCAGTGAGCACCGAAATCTTTATTAACCCGTGGGGAAAAATTTAATGCCGCTGCTAGGAAGTACTTAGATGAAATGCTCAAATTAGGTGTAGTACGCATGTATTACAATTATAAATTCTATGTTCATTTGTATATTTTACGGTTTTTTTTTTTTATAAATTCTATACTCTCTCTTTGCTTCTTTAACGATTGTCTCGAACGGATGATATGGACGAACTAAAAGTAGTCAGAATAGGTTTTAAAGAATACATGACTCCCTACTATAATATACTATTATTTCTTAACTGAACGAAACTACTTTTTAGCTTGGTAATGTTGGTCCAAGGACAAATTGCTTGCTTAAAATTTGAACAATTTTTGCTACTTCTGCGTTAATTATTCGAAAGGCTTTTGTACCTAAACTCAGAAACATTTAGAATTCAGATAGACCGTTGCGTTTTTCAACAAAAATTAATGAACTAAACAAGGATTTATAATTATTACGAAGCTAATATAAAGTGATAGAGTGCGAGGTACGCACACTGAAGAGGAAATGAACTTTTCTAGGCCGGGCCATAGAGCGTAGTAAGTGTGAGTAGATTAAGCAGACAGGCGAAGGCCAGCCGTTCTCTACATTTTTTAGCGCTTTTGTGCTCGCTGAATTTTTCTTTATTAAGTAAACGCATTTATTCCATTGAAATTGTCAATAAATATATTGCCATAGCAAAAACGACTTCCAAAGCGAACAAAAGGTGTTTATCGCTTAAATATCAGCTAAGCAAAATTCTTATTAAATCTACAAATTTCGTGATGCATAAAGTGGGTGCTGGTGAAGATTGCCTATTTCGTTCTAATTAATCTAAGTGGACGAGGGCGCTTTGCGGACAATTAGAGGTGAATCTGTGATAAAAGAAGAAACAACAAATAGAGGCCAAACGTGGCAGGGGACGCCCGCTCACGCAGGCGGGTCACGGCCCCATTGCAGTGCCAGTTCCCGACTGATGCTCTGTTACTTTCGCTCCACTGAATGCGGGGGCCGTCCCAGCTGGCCGCATTTCGGTGTCAGGTCGGATGCAGCGTACGGCATAGGGCACAACGACGAAGCGCATATAATAACGCATCGACAAACGGCAGCCCGATACGCACAATGAACAAATTCATACCTAGCCTTTGCACTGATTCCTCTATATGGACACAAAATCCGAAGGTAAAATGGCACTTTATTAGGTAAATCGTGACCGCGATCACCAGTTATTTGATTTTGTTTTTTATTCAAGGCGAATGATCGATAATGCACCCTAAAAAACAAAGCACCAATGTACCAGATGGTTCAGCGGGCTCAGAAGCGCACTGCGCCGATGCCGTACGTCGTAATCAGTAATAATCAATCACTAATGATAATTGAGTTAATTATTATCTTGTTTTTAGTTATTTTCGGTTTAGGCTTATCTTATTTCAACTTATGTTTTGAAACTCAGCTAATTTTTTTTCTAAGTTCATCTACATTTGGTGCATTGTCGACGGGCCCGCTAAGTTAGTTTTGAAGTCAATTCCTGTCCGAAAACCGGCCTATGCCATGCTGCTTGTCCAAATACATGTCCCTTCTTGTACCGCGAAACGAAAGTAACTTCCGTACAAATTTGGGAATGGAGTACCAATTTTTTTTTGGGACAATCAAGAATGACTAGGCTTCAACATGGGTTTTACTCTAGAGAGTAAAGGGTACTCTACTGCACGTCTTTAAAACAGCATAAATACTAAAGCAAATGTAGAGTGCTACACTCGTCGACATATTATCGAAAGGTGAGGAACTACTGTTGCTGTTTCTCAACGTTGGTTTACATGTAGTTTTGGCAAGCCGTAACGTTTTGGTAATTTTGGACGGATATTTTTGCGTCCGCGGATTTTGCTCTAGTGTAGATTATTATACAGTTTTCTCTTTCTGAAACCCTGGCTGGTTTGGCTTTTCCCTATAGTAATATCGGGCAATAGTAATCTGAGTTATTAGTGGCTGTTTACACTGCGATTGCTGATCAGAAAATCAATATTATTCTAGTTTTTCGTCTGCATATATTCGAATAGGTAGATTCTTCTACTTAGAACAGATAGGGAGAGGGGTAACGTTTTGGGTAAATGCTAATTCTAGGTAATAGCCACGTTAGTTGTTACCTTTAACATTCTCAGTGATAGGTTTCAATGGTTCTAATGAAAGCATTACAGTAAATAGCAAGCATTACTTTCAAAAATACAGATACCTTCAAAGAGAACGCAGCCTTTAAAAAAGCATCACGCTATTTGAAGAAAATAATACAAGTGTTGAAAATTTATTGCATACCAAAGCTGTATGATATATCAATTTTTTTTCATTTTTATATAGCATTTAAGCTAGTTTCAGTATGGTTATTCTCTGTATGTAGTGTGCTAATCCAGCACGTATTTTCCTCATGTTCAATTACTAGCAAAAAGTTTAACTTTAAGGCTGTAAAAATATTCAGCTTCAATACTGAAACGTCATTTAGAAAGGCAGAAAATCAAAGCGTATATATTAAAAAAAAAAAAAATAGAAAGCACACAGATCAGGGCAATAAATTGTTTTACTAGCTTATACAAATATCATTTTAGCAATCCACCGATGTGAATTACATCTGGCGTTTCGTATAGGTCATCGGCACAATAAGTCAAGATAAGCGGTTTGTGGAGTAATCGTTGAGTTCAGCATTCCCCGTATAGAACTAACCACCTTACAAAAAAAAAAAAAAAAAAAAAAAAAGCTTTGTCAACCTTTAGCTTAGGTTGGTAATAACAAACTGTAATAGATCCAAATACCTAAAAGCTAATGATTCGCAATCAAAATGTTAAAATGAGTACCTATGTAACGTATCCGCTAAAGAATGAAGCAAGTTTGATGTCTGCAAACAGAAAATTATGTAAAATGATATAAACATGTTTACCTAGAGTACGTTACCACAGAAAACTCTTAGTCTTTAGCATCGCTGCAAGAAATGCGTGTGTCATAGGTTTTCGACAATTTTTTTTGCAATCTTCGGAACATAATCATATTCAGGTTTTCTGTTCACTGAACCAGCTGCCTGATTGTCAGTTGAGTTTGTAACTTAAGGTTTACTTGGGAAGTTTTGGCATTCTGCTAACGTTTCTAACGCCCAAGTTACTACGAATACAAATTCCAAACCGGAACCTTATAAAACGTCTATGAATCTCTAATATAGCTACCTGTTTCCTACCTGTTGTTCTTCTATACTTTCACGCTTGATTTTAGTAATAAATGATTTTATCTAATTGTTTCAGTTTACTGGCTGGAACACCGTATCGTTAAGCAACTCGTAAGGCCTTTTTAGTCATATGTTGTTTTTTTTTATGGTTAGTAGATTTTATTGACGGCAAGTGGACAGTGCTTCAACTTCCTGTACATTCGCAGTTCTTATTCGATGAAATATTATAGCACCAATGGTAAGTTCCAAAGAGTAACGGCTATTTCATATTTATACTTTTCCATGAACTCCAGACCTATGGGTTTAAAGCTTAGTGGCAGTATGTGTGTCACTGCGCTAATATCACACGAACGCTAGGATACGGGTGGTGAGGTTACCTGTGACAAACGTTATAGTTGTGAAAGCAGCTTTTGAAAGCCGCAGGTTTATGAGGAACGATTTGAAAACAGCTTCTGAGGTCGATATCGGTTTATTTGAAACTTTTCTGGACAAAAAAGCCACTGTCATTGAAAGCTATTGGTACAATCTAGAAGTTAACTTTTTACTTAGGATCTTCGTTTGTTGTTTTGATTGAAGTATTACTTCTTAAGTTAATGCCGCACTGGCCTGCGGATTACTGCCGCATGTGCCTGTTTGCCACCTTCTTGCCAGTGCGGCCTATTGCTACCTAAGCAACGTTTTCCACCAGTGGCATGACGCAGGCCCAGGTAAACACAACACGTGATCTATTATTATGTATACATCTTAATCTAATTTTGTGACAAACAGCATTTTATGACAAACATCACTAAAAATTATATTCTATCAGTATACAATGACGGAACCTTTATGATGACATATCGAAGTGCTCAATTTTCGATCGTTTTCTTGAAATGTAGTTAGCTACCCTACCTTGACACGATTATTGCAGCACGTCCAAAATCTGTGTCCTGTTAAGGCGTCTCGGAAGATGACTTATTTTCAGGGTACTTTTACACCTCGATCATCGTCAGTTGAAGGTACACATTTTTGAGGAGAGTCAAATGGCCGTAGCAGATCTATGCTACCGAACCACATGGGTAGAAACGACACCAACCACTATAGTGTAAGTAGCGCACGAAAAGAGGCACAACATATATATACCCTAAACTGACAAAGCAGAAATGAAAACTTCTCGCCAGAAATCTTGGCTGGTAGTGAAGAAGATCATCAACGGATACATCAGTAGAAGCGCACCGTTACAAGTACCCGTACCATTAGATAAATTACTCGAAGTTTTGGGAATCATTTCAATAATCAATTCATCCTATAACAATCCCAAAGCGACTACCGGTCGTATAGTTCGCGTAAAGGTTTATCAACAACTTATTAATACAGATCTTTTTTTGTTCAGCTTTTGTACTGCAACTGAGAAGTCACCGATACAGCACACACTACGCACAGACTGATGTTTTTACTGGAACCATTTCGACCAAAACATTTAAGATGGATCTTCCTTGATTTTACCGATCATGCAGACATCAGCTGATAATGAACAATTAATTTAGAGTGTCAAAAAACATTATAATCACCGAGGCGATTACGTATTAATCGCACTTGTCTACTGATCAGACGCCTGACCGCCACTGCTAACGTGGGTTTCTTTATGTTTGATAATGTGAGCACGTTCGACTGCTTAGCTCATGTGTCTAGTAAAGACCATCTGAATAAGTTACCTAACCATATAAGATCCACAGGAACAGTCGATGCGATATCCGTGCACGATATACATTACAATATATAATAATGAGCAGCATCTAATTTCGCTTTGACAACGACATTATTATGCAGTCGCAATGCACGGAGTCGGCGAAAGGCATATTCGTACAGGAACAACTAGTGGATACTGATGATGGTCCTCGCAGGCTCGTCGCATGGGGGTGCTCTCACACCACGCTCACGTATATACGCACGAAGGCAAAAGACTATGGAGAGGACGTGCTGAGATCACGACCAGTTCCCTTCTCCCATAGGCCCTCCTTCAAATCAGCCTCGCTCCCTCCCTACCCTTATCGGATAGACGCGCAGATGCTTACCAAATAATAAGTAGAATTGGATAACTCATAGAAAACCCCTAGCGAACTGCAAATTTTGATGTTTACAAAACCTGCAAGTGTACAAGGTCTAATTAAAAGCAAGGATCCAGCATAAGTATATCGAGTGTATCTACATAAATTCGCGTCTGAAGGCTATTTTTTGAATGATATTCATTTATAAACCACATAGACTGAGGGCTCTCACTAATTCATGTTGAGAAATACTGGGAGAAATATGTTTAGTTGCGAAAATGGTTCAGATGGTCAAACCTAGCGGCATCGACTGCCCTGAAGGCATTTGCTGAAATAAAACAGACAGACTCAACTGCTGTGATCTAATAACATATCCACTAAAAGCTTTCTTTGTACTGAAACTTTTATCTCTAATTAGTTGTGCTAGTATTAGAGGCCCAAAGAATTGTGTAAGTGTAAGGTATTCATTTCCAGTGTGTAGCTTACGTGTGCCCGAAGAAGAAGCTCTGTTTATAAGAATAGATTGCGGTCATTGCCTAAGGCAAGCTGCGCCTCTTAAATAGGATTCTGTCTCAGCTTCAACGGGCTAGTATTTCCTACTGTTTAAATAATGACTTTGTTATGACTTGAAACCCTTAAGCAATTTGATCGAAGAGGCAATATCTATCAGTGATCGATTTATAACGATCGAAGATGATTTGGAACGATCAAAATGTATCTAATCAATCAATCGATTATAAGCATGGACTATCAAAAAATGGCTCATCAACGTGAGATAGTTATTTATATCTGGGAACTGAAATTTCATTCAAAGTCAAACATCGACTGACCTATGCAACGACCCATCTTTTTTTTTATCTCAGAATGTTGGCGGTTGTTATAGCATCGTATGAAATATAATAACATGCGTTAACACACCTCAAATCGTATATCTGCATAAAAAATAGGATTGAATTATTACTGGATTGAAAACAGCTCCTGACACTTGAATTAGCATGTGTTCCCTGTGTAAAACTGCAGCTGTATCTGAAAGGGTTGACGATCCCTTTGCCACTTGCATATCGCCTGAAGCTTACAAAATAGAGACGGCTTTTATTAGAAAAGTTGTATATGTATATATTAGGTGGTTTAGTTAATCAGTAACTTAGTTCCTTCTACAAATATGCCATAGACGTAGAAGGACCTTGTGTTATTCCGTCACAGTTATCAGTTTACGTCCTGCACGACCAATATATGAACGCAAGTGAATTGGGAAGTTTTATGAAGACGTAACTGAAGTCACAACACGAATGATTGCAAGAAGACAGCGAAAATTCTTCGCAACTTCAGACGGTAGAGCCCTTGAGCCCTGGCTGTTTCTCGTCATCAATGCGTTCCCGATCAAATGCCTTCTTAGTTTGTAATAGTTTCAAGGTAAAAGGGAAAGTGTAGGAGATACCGAGGGAAACAATGCATTTGCGTGTGACAGTGACCTCACGACGACATTCCCAGTGAAACGAAAAATCCTCTGTTAACTAGTTGGTTTTTCTCTTTATAGTACTCCAGTGTTGTCATTTTTATAACATAACCTATTGTGCCCTACTTACTTGCTTCAGTAAAGGGGGCTTCGAACTTGATTGTATTTCATCACAGGTGAGCTGATTTCTATTTCGAATCACTGCGTGTATATCTAATAACCCTTGAACCATATATAATGAAGATGAATATCGAGATATACGATAGCATATTCTCATAAATTAGTCGATTATCTGTAGCTGAAGGTCTCTGGTTCGAATCGGCAAAGACACCGACATAGCCACTGTTTCTATAGTTGCATTAATCAGCTACCTTTATAAGCTAATTGCAACTGGATCCATCAGTGGTTACGCCACAAAAACGTTAACTTATATGTAATACTCCTTTTGCTACTGCCAATTTTGCTATTTACAACGTGAAGTTAAGCGTGACATGCTTCAACTTGCTTATACACCACTTCAAGTTAGAACATCTCAAGACAAAGAAGCACTGGGGAATCGACATCAATGCCAACCTACCTATTATTTGCTGCTCCATATCCGCTTCGAAAAAAGGAAACTTAAATGCGGCTTTTATTGAAGCTTAACTTAGCACTTCGGCTACTTTGTCATCTAGACCCAGTGCAATCCAAGCACGATCAACAGAACTAATGTCCGAACTATTTTTCGTATTACTATTAGATATGAATGAAAAGATCAGCGATTATTTTTATATAAATAGATAATTCTCTAAACAAAAGATAATTCGCTCAACACTAGCCGATGCACAGAAAATTGACGCCTCTCTGCTACTAACAACGTTTCCGTACTTTCAATTCATCCCATGTTTGTTTAGCCCAAATATGTTACCTATGTATTGTACAATGAGCAGGGACGTTGAGCCCGATGACAGAGTTGTTTTAAGTGTTTGGTAATTACAAAGCCTTATTAGCCCTATCTACTTATATGCCTATTTCTAGGTATTCTATAATTGATATCGGAAATACTTCGAAAATGAGATACGATGAATATTCGGAAATATAGGAAATAGTATCGATGCTCATGCCTTGACGTAATCCAAGCAAGTTCAATAGGTTTGCTTTTCGGGTGTAGCCCAACGTACCGCGCTATTATATTGCTAAATGTTATTTTATATATTTTCTAAACTCTATATATATTTTTCGCTGTCTCGTTCACAAGCTGCGCTAATAAATGTTTTTATTCATTTACAAAAAAATGTAAGACCCACGTTATCAATGACTGCAGTATTGCCATACGCTTAATGTCTTTATCATAGATATTTAGCTGGTAAAATTGTAAAGTACAAGTAGTAACTTTAACTTTAAATAGTAATAATTATACTCTAAAACGTGTGGCCCATGCTTTTACATGACTTACTAAGAATAGCAGGTCGATAACTGGAGCATGAAACATTTCCGCTGTTTTAAAATAACGACTCTGCTAACTATGGGTCAACTTCCAGTAAACGTACTCTGAATTCCATAGATGAAATGGTTTTGCCCAGACTAAGAGCCAGAGAAGTTACTACCAACAGGTACCACATAGCGTCTGCTAGATGCTATTATAATAACAATCTGCAGAACATGATGAATTAAACCAGCATTTTTCTGTGATCAGTAAACAGTAATGGGCCTGCAATTATGTTTTCCGTCTGCTATTATTAGTTTGCATCCAACGACATTGATAGTTCCTTGCATATATTAGTTACATAGTGAACTAAAATATTAATTAAGGACCATTGTGCTTTGTATCACATATTACAAAATAATTAGCAGATATGGAAAATTGCGATTGACAACTTCATCGTAAGCGGTTTGACGTACCTCCCCGTCACGTTAGTGTAGCAATGGTCAGTTTTTTAGATTGTGATATGTAGATCAATGGAGAACGTTAGCTCAGCAGAAGATAATGCCATGGGCTATTGATCCGTGAATATGCACATTTTACAGCCGAAAATAGCGCCGGGAGAGGTCCACTGAATGTGTTCTGTAACATGTAGACGCAGATATGCACTTAATGACGAATTGCAAATAGTTTATGACCTAATTAGACGTTTACACTCTCTGTAGTACGTGTATATTGATGCGCGTGTCATCTATATATGTATATATAGCCAACGCCTAAATATAATAGACAAGTGACATCTCAATGAGCGGTTTCTTTTTTTTGTTTTGAAGCTGTCAAATTATAATAATACGATTAAGTTAAAAAAAAAAAGTACAAATCTACTCGTTCTATTCGGACCTCCAGCACCTATACTGTTTGAATGAGTATCTTCTAGACAGTGTAACGTATTATACAGATAAGCATTGTACAGGTAAGCAGGCACAAATACAAAGGCGGATTTGGCGCTTCAACCTCTCCCCTTTTAGGTCTCCTCTCTTCCAGCTAAAGCGGCTGGCCGTTATCGTGAAGTGGCGGCTTTTGCTTTCAGGACATCCCGCTGCCACTACAAATTCTACCTGCAAGCAAGCTCATATTGTCGTCCAACTACGCAGTGGAA